AAAAAAAAAACTAACATAGTATATAATACCTGAGGATCTTTTATTGTCTCTACCAATAAAGCTTTATAAGATTCAACAGCCTCTGTTCTATGAGCTTTAGTTCTCACCCTCTCCACTTCTTGCTACTCTTTCTTTTCACTTGCATAATGCTCGTTCTCTTTCTTTCAGTTTCTCCTATAAACATAATGCAAATACTTGTGATATCTCTTAAATCAATAGTCAGGTGACACACACACATACGCATCACATCACATATAAAATGAGCATATACCGTGTGAAAACGATAAACAATCAATAACCACAATTTTAATATCTGGCCACCTTTACTTGTAATGCTAAGGATCAATCCCGGTGTGATAATTTTTCACCATTACACTAAAGAAGCAAATACAGTAAACTAAGAGGAAGATGAGGGTAAGAATCCACAATGCCAAATATGTAATCATCCCGTTCTTTCATTTCAAGTTATATGCACTTCATTTCCAGTGATATGCTTAGTCTAGCAATTGACGATACTTTGAATTTCTATCATATGCATCTTTAAAAAATCTTCAATCCACAGATGCAGAAAAGCAGTTATACACAAAGCATATGTTAGAATTTTAATCAGAATCTTTGTGTACAGTTTACATTGAAGAATTTACGTACCATTCCAGCTGACCCAGATGGACATCAGATTTTACTTCCATAGGTCAAGTTTCACATTAAAAATACGTATAAGTGGCAGTAGTTTCAGTGTAGTTTGACACTTGGGATGAAGGTTGACTCAGGTTAATTGATAGCCTCTTTGGGAGTGATTTTGAGAATTGATTTTTTGACCGTTAGGAGAAAAGTGAGGTCCACCTGTAAGAGAAGAAGTCAAATATGACGGCTGTAATAATAAAATAACAGTAAAAAAATCAATTTTTTGGGGGAAAAAATCACTCCCAAACAAGCTGTGAATCTGAAAGTCAAACATAACATCTTCCTTCAATGGAAATACATTTAGGCAGGATACATCCCCCACGGGCTGTAGATATTAGTATAATGTTTATGGAGTGTATCTACCAGGCAAGAATTTAGACTAATCTTCTCTACTCTCTACCAACCACAAGCATTTCTTTCAAAGGTATTGTGCCAAATAACAATGACATCTTTTATTATTCGGTGAAGCAGTTGCCAACACAACAATGTAGATCTTGTACACACAGGAAGTAGGTTCACATATATGCATGTAGTACAGTTTTATCAGCTTTTAGGCATGAGAAAATTGAATCGTCTCAAAAACCTAAGCTGAATCTATACAGATGAGCAAGCCCTTCAATGCAGGACACTGAACAAGAACTTAACTAAAGAATAAAAAGGAAACATGGTAAAAGGCTAGGATAAGTTACTTCATTTAAGAAATTCTCATTGAATAATCCTACATTTTCTGCAAAGCCGTGTAAAAGCAGAAATAATTTCTGTATTTCTGTGTGTTATTCGACTAAGTTACATCCTCAATTTATAACACAATAGGAAAGGGGATAAAAGGAAGGGGATCTCCTAAATTAGGAGATGAGACAATTAGTCCTAAATTAGTGGCCTAATTAGAGTATCTCTAAACTAAGGCAATACATAAATATGGTAACTACAATAATAATGCAATCTTCAAGATTTATAACACCGTGTCCCCCCAAGTTCAAGTGGTTTTTCTTTTTCCTTTTTCAGCTTGGCCTTACCACCCAAAATGAACATATTAAAATGAGTGATCGACATGGATAGATATTTAGATTGCTAAATTAAACTTCAAATAAGTAATCCCTTGCAAGAGCCCAAAATATCTAAACATAAAATCCAAGATGTGTGTTTGTGACAAACTAACAAGCAAGAATTTGTAAAGCATCATATCCAAGTTAAATGTAAATTGCTGATTAAAAACTTTCTGATAAGAATTTCAAATATCACCACCCAATTAATAGTCTGGAGGCAGTCACAAAATTTGTAACCAGATTGAATTTAATAAAAAATCAGCTACTTTTGGGAGAAATTATAGAATGCAATCCTTTCATTTGTTTGCAATTTAATATTTCCATCCCGATTAACCCTGCCATATAATAAACCAACCAAATCAAAACGGGTAGTTTGTGTGCACATAGTGACAGAGAGAAAAGTGGAAGATAACAGACAAGGAAAGAGAAAAATTTCTGACAAATCCAGACCATGAAATAAAAGAGAAATTTGTGCAGGGCAAGAATACAATTTTGCACGAGAAATTAACAAGTAATGAAATCAGAAGCACAACAAGTATAGAAAGCAGAGTAAAAATAAAAACATATATACAAATATAAGTTGCAATGCAGTAATAGCTAAGACAAAATTCTCTAACCTCCTCATCATGCTTTGTCTTTTCCTTCCCCTCTATCAATTTTTCAGCAGCCTTTTGCTCAGATATATATTCATTAAATGACCTCTCTCTGTCCTCGTGCTTAACAGCCTTGTATCTGGCATCACTTTTTAGGCTATCTTTCATCTACCAAAGAAAAGATCCAAAGCTTCTTAGATGATGGCAAAAAAAGGCCATCTCATATCATTACAGTGAAGAAAGAGCTTACAGACCCTTCATATAGAAACTGATCAGGAAATCAACTGAGCAAGATCCTTAGGAAGTGAAGGATGCATTTATTAAGGATATAAAATCCTAGCCAATTATTGGTATACAATAATATCTTAGGGGCTGTCTGGCACAGATTTTTCAACCTGATTAAAATTGCAATTATGACCATTGGGTGGTCAGTTGGGACCCACCCGTGAGAGGATGGGTCAAAAATGTTGGCTGGCAACGGTAATAAATTTGTTGCCAACGGTCACCTCTCTGCTGAGAAGCCCTCCCAGACAAGGGCTTAATCATTTCAAGTTCAAACTAGTTATCATTTTCTTCTTTACTTTGTTTCTAATATCATAGCCTTTCAACAGATATGTCAAGCATTCGAACATCTGATCTTGGACTGTTGGACAACTCCACTGATGGAAATCAAACAGGAAAGTATATCAAAACTATCAATTGATACAAGCATAACTTATTGTTCTGGTCAGTAAGTGGAAATCCATCAACAGCGATGACAGATACAAGTGTAAGGATATAACACAACCACAATGAATATTGAACGTTTCATGGACAAAATTCTGTCTCAATATATTGATGTACTAGTTTCACGCAAAGTAGCTAAAACAACGATTCAATTTCAGTACATTTGAATAAAGCATATATCTTTGGAACTCAACGTTACTTTATTAGGTTATTCACGATATTATTTGTGCAGAGGCTTCTGAAATTTTTCTTAAGAGAAAATAACAAAGAAATGGCTTTACACTTCGTGGCATTAGCTAGTCTATTAAGGCAAATAAATTGCCTTCACCTTTACCATCTTTTTGCACTTCTTTCCTCTACCTTTGTTTCTTCAAGATGCTATCCCCAACCTTTCACTTATTGGCATGTGTAGTCCCCGTGGATGGTGTCCATCAATCTGGTGTGTGTAAAAAGAAAATTGTATTCTAATACTTAAAAGGATACAAACACAAAAAGAAATAAAAAATCAAATACGAAAATAGTTATCGTCCACCATTCTGGAGCCCCACCCCCTCTTCGCAGTAACCCAATACACAACATACCCTGAACCCCAAACCTCTTCCATCTGGTGAAGCTCCACACTCCACAAACCAAACCACTCCTGCAAACATATCCTTCTCCCTTTCTCTTTCTTCTCTTCTTTGATTTTCTCCGCTTACAATCCTTCATTTTTTGCTCAATATACCAACGCAGAATCAATGGCAATGGATGCTGAAGATGACTGGGAAGGGATTTAATAAAGAGAACACAATGAACAACCCTTTGTATATTTAAGTAAATACAATATTTTCTTTTTTTGCAATTACTTACCGGACTAGCAGATGACTGCTGTGAACTTCTAGAAGGTGGATTGTTCACATTCAAGTACGAGAAGGAAGGTTGCACAACACCATAAAGAGTAGCACTGTTTTGTTTTGGTTCAGATGCATCTTGTGAAGGAGCAATTGGAGTCAAACTAGATACAGAGCTCAGCTCTACCATTTTAAGTTTTACTTCCTAAATAACAACAAAGAATCAGCAGCGAAGAACTGCCCTAAAAGCAAGAGAATATGAATTTAAAAAAAATCAAAATTACTTGCCTATATACTTTTACATAGTACTTTTCTTAGACAACTAGATTCCGCTTTCAGAATTCAACTAAAAATTAAAAGAATTAACATTTGACAAAATGGGTAGGGTGAAATTACACATATTTGAAACGTTCAACTAGACAAAAGAAAATTAACAATAACAAAACGTACATACAAAAGTCTGTGTGACCGAAATAGCAATTCAGTTCTATTTCTATGACGAAGAAAGAGTTTAATTTTCTAAAAATTGGTCAATATCAACGAATGAGAAAGAGTCATTTAATAATAAAAATAACAATGAACAAATAGGAAGAAACGTACCAAGTATCGAAACCAGAGAGAGACGGCGAAAGCGAGAACTGAGAAGTTGCTCCGGCTATCGCCTCAGGCTTTGTACGGGTTAAATAATGTAGTGCGACTTGGGAGACAAAATAAACCGGGATCACGATTTTAAGTTATTTGCAACATAGGTCCCTGATCTTTTGAATTATCTATATTTATAGAAATGGATATTGTTGGTCATTATACTTTGACCCAATGTTCAATTGGGTTACTGTCAATTGAGTCACTATAGTTTAATTTTCTATCGATTGGATCCTTATACTTTAATTATGTTTCAAATTTAGACAACTTTTGAGTTAGAAGGAAATAGAACTAACAAATTCATATCACACAGACGTGCAGAATGAAAAATAACTTGAATCGTAGCTTGGCTTAAACTGACGTAAAATTAAAGTATAATAATTAATCCATAGGTAATTAACTATATAACCCTTTCGAGACAAATCGAAATATAGTAACCCAAAATGAGGTCAAAGTACCGTCACGCAGCTCATAATACGGTATATAAATTTTTATAATTTTTTTTTTTGCCATATTGCATATTGAAATGTGTCCTCGTGGTTCATAAATATTCGGAAACTTTTCTTTTGATATATAGCCCCTTTTGGGTGGGAATTTTTAGTGAATTTTAATAAAAATTGATGAAATGTGTGATTAAAAAATTGTAGATTCGTAAAATATATTATTAAAGTTAATTGTTGATTTTTATTTAGTTAAATACTAATTGTTTCGTGTGACTTAGATGCTTTTTTAAACATATTGTATCTAAAAACATTAGGAAAACTAATCATTAATGACATAATTGTGAATTTTTGCAACTCTTTTAAAGCCCCTATCTGGTTCCATTATTGAATGCAAGAATAACTTTTTTGACCATTTTTCTTTGCAGCAAATGAGTCCCATTCTGATAAAGAAAAAAAAAAAAAAAGGTTTGCTACCTATTCGAAGGTCCTAAAAGCCGTTAAAATGAGGCAAAAAATTTGGAAACAAACGTGGGCTAAGTATAAGAAGTATTTGTAGGCTCAAAACATGCATTTCACATGTTAATTTGAAGAGATTGGTCTTCAAAAATTACGCAAGCATCATCCAAGCAATTATATGTGAAATAGTTAAGAGTTTTACGACGTCCAACTTGGATCGAATCTGGAAAGGATCAACCCAACGAATTTAAAATAGTTGGATTTTTATGCAATCCGATTTGGACAGATTCTGGAAAAGTATCGAACCAATGAATATTAGGGTGTTTGAACTCATTTAATTTTGAAAAACGTATCAAGAAATAGTAGATTGATGAAAAATGTGTGATTAAAAAAGAATGAAAAGTTTTTAGTTTGTGTATAATATTATTTTAATGAAAAATGTGTTGTTGAAAATGAGTACCGTAGAATAATGTGATAGAATGTGAAATAATGAGTGACAAATAGGGCTTAGTTTTGTCTGATTCAATTTCATCACGCCTAAAATTAATTCAAAAAAATAGAAATTTTCACCCGCAAAACTTCCTCCTAGAAACAAGCAAGTCATATAATCTTCATGTTGAAACACAAATATATGGAATCTGATAGGATATCAGAAGAACAGGCTTACAATATGAAGGGGATGCATCATTCACTATATAATCTATACATTAGATCCAAAATTACAAAGCCACCAAAAATGAAAGCTCTTGATCAAGAGGGAAATGGAATAGGGGAATGGAACTTCAAAATTGTAGAAAAAGGAGGACAGAAATCATCCCACGATAAACCCGAGCCTTCTATCCCAGTAAATATATCGTCCTAGAAAACTCAATCCTAAGTGAGTTCTCCTATGCACACTTGAAGCCAGGACAAACAGACAGAATGATGATGAGAACCAAAGCTACAACGATACCAAACACAATCAATTTAATCTTCATATTCTCGAACCACATTTTTCGCCTAATCTTGGTCCCCTGTTTCCTAAAATCCTGCGCCTGAAAACCCGTCAAAACACACAAAAATCTATCAAATTTCAGAACGAAAACATAATTTATGTGTCACTAAAGATAAGAAGAACTTGACACACTCGAAGGAGTGGATTAAATGCAATTTCAATATGGCTTCCTCGGACTAACCTGTGATCGGAGATTATCAGATTTATCAACAAGCAGCTCAATCTTCTCGCCTCGGTCAAGAACCTAAATATACGAGGAAAACAATTAGCATCATGAGGAATAGCAAAACTTTCAAATACCAAGTAAACATGGAAAACTTGGTACCTTCTCGATGTTTTCCATCATGACACCCTTTACTTCAGATACCTGAGCCTTGACTTTAGCAAGTTTGTTAATTTCTTCAGGATGATCAGCACAGTACTGCATATGCTCTTTCAATTTTGGCCTAGCATAGCAACAGGGTGTTCGACAAAGCCCACACAAAAAGGAAAGAAATATGTAAAATGTGAAAAAAGCAATTACCCAAATTCCTTTTTCAGGCTATTGGCACCTGCAGTTGTGGCTTTTCCTCCTCCATATCTCTTGTTAAAATCATCCTTAACACGCTCTAGAAACGCAATCGGAATTTGCCTGCCAGCAGACTCAATGGCAACAACGCAATAGGCTACAAAATAAAGCGTAAGTGTTTCTTGAGAAAATGGATTGAGGTGAAATATTGGATCCATAATTCTTTCCTTTTCCCTACCATCAAGTAGGATCAGAGGAAAATCATTTACTCTTTATCCCCATATTTATTCACACAAATCAAAGAAAATGATCACAGACCACAAAGATCAAATCAAAACCAAACAAAAACGCTCAAATTCAAACCAATAAAAAATAAATAAATTGTAAATGAATTATCAAAAACGGAGGGTTCATACTGAATCCATTTTCCACAAGGTAATTGAAGGTGTGGCCATCGCAATTGTAAGTGAACCTGTTGTTGGATGCCGGCAGCTTCTGCAGGCATTGGGAGGCAATGCCGATGAAATTCCCCTTGAATCCCGTAAATTCTGCTAATATCACCGTGCCTCTCGCCACAAAGCTGTAGATCAGTGTCTGCTGAGTACCCATAATCTATATCTTATATATGATTTTCGACAAGAAAAACCCACCCAGAACCCAATTTTGAATAAGGAGAGATCAAAAAAATTGATATGAAAATATGGATAGAGAAACGTATTGCATTCAAGTGAGGGGGAAAAATGTGTGTGGAAGAACGGTTGGATCGGAGAAAAACCAGAAAGAGAGTAGAATTTGAGGAATCACTATCTATTTATATATAAACAGTAAAATAGCACATTTCTATAATTAGCCAAATTGTATTGAATCAACCCATGGCGCCTTTCAAAGCTCATTTCCACAACCAGCCTTTCCCCCATACCTCACTTCCCCATATTTGTCCAGCTCCGTAAAGACATTAATTTCTTTCTTTGGAACAGAATCTGCAGACTCCCATTCAGTTCTTCGAATAGCCTACGATTATTTTCATCAGGTATAGGCCACGGCGTAGCATATTTTTCATAAAGTTTCTTCTCCAAAATTCCATCCAAAATAAAACCCTGAAATTGTGCCACACTCATTGTTTCATGAATCTTGACACTCATTCTCCCTCTCTTAGGCTCTCACGGTCTATTCCGGCGTCTATAATGTTCCCTCTTGAGTGTTTTGCCCATGTTTACAATCTTGAAACAACTTTATTCCTCAACTCATTTACAATCTCATTGTTAAGATAAATATTCTACACATAAACCCAAAAAATATTATTTCATGATTTATTTTTCTCAAAAAATTAATTTTAATAATTGTCAAACACTTTGTATTTCGAATTGAAAAATGCTAAGTGTACATAGTTTCTACATGTATTGCGGTGGCAGCAACTATGTTATTCATTTTTGAATTTTGATACTTGTGTACCAGCGGGTCGGTACCTTATTGCTGCCTTTTTAAAGGTAGCAAACTGGCTGCTTTTTTAAGGCAGAAAATTCTGCCTTTTAAGGCAGCTAGCAGCCAAACAGATAAAAAAAAAAAAAAAGTCTGCCCGACTCGGTTCAGAAAAGCCCGAGCTGAAAGCTCGGACCGAGCAGAAATTTTTTGGCTCGGCTCGACTCGGACTCGTAAAAAAGGTCGACCATTTTAACCGAGCCAAGCTCGAGCCAAAATTTTGAGGCTTGGATCGTTGACATCCCTACCTCTATATGAATTCTGTGAACCAACCCTTAAGTGTAGTAAGGTTCTTTCGAATTTCATGGCTTTCGTACTTGAGCTCAATGGCTGAAGCTCATCCAAACCCTGAATATTTCAATCCATCCAGAATTGTTTCTAGTTTATTTTATTTTTAGGTTTTTCAATTTAATTCATATTTAATAAATATATAATAATATTAAATTTAATTAACGAATTAATTAAACGGAAGCAATAGATGGAGAAATTTAATCCCCACTCCACTTCCAAAAATATCTCACGAGACAAGATGTTAATGATTGCTCTTGCCCATTGTCATCCCTAATTACTTAGGGTTGAGAATAAGTTGGGCATGCTTAGATTTTTAAAAAAGAATAATTGTAAAATATGGGTTAATAACACAATTATGGAACATTTGGGGTCAATTTCTGAAAAATCAATTAAATCAATAAATATTGTAACATTAAGACGAAATATTCTTAAAATTCAAGGGTCCTTTAAATTATTTTTGGTCACAAAGTATGTAATTTTTTTGAAGTATATAATCTTTGACATGTACGTTGTTTTTTTTTTTTTTTTTTTTTTTAACGAGTGTAATTTCCTAAGCACCTGTAACATCACATCTTGTTTTGTATAAAGTATAAATACTGTTTCGTAGAGCTTCAGTTTATTCATGAACAAAAAGAAGTGTGCACAAATCTTCTTCCATCACATCTTTTTTCCCCTTATTCTCCATACTTGGTCAATGATGCTAAAAGAACAATCTAATTGACTGCTAAAATAGTTCATTTTAGCCCACACCTCTCGATATTAAGGCATATCTCAACATAATGAAAATATATAATGAGATGTTATAAACCAAATTGACAAGATTTTATCATTGTGATTATTTGACAGGAACTTGCTTCTTTGACATGCTGCGCAGAGCGTATAGCCAACACGATCTGAAATTTTGTAGAGATAATAATGCTGATAAACTAGTTTTGAGTAAATTTGTCTGTCTTGTGATCCTTATATACCACTTGATTAGCAACACTTGTCAAGCTATTGTTTAGGAGATTCCTCATTATCAAACAAGCACATTCGAACTTTTCTTGTTTCTTGTGAACCTTGCTTGATTTGTCTTATTGGTTGGATATTGATCATTAACAGATCTGGCAATGCATGTGCCAAAATGAGGTAGAAAACCAGTGTCCAGCGTATTACCCCGCTCAAGTTCATTTTCCCACAAAGGAGTACTCTCCATTCTTTATAGCCCTCCTACCAGGACATACTGTTATTTTAAATAATCTTGTCTGGATGCTTAAACTATGAAAGAGCAAACAAATTCATTTATTATTTATCTATAACTATATTCTCAACATGCACCCTTACTGCGGCTGAAATTCATTTTTTCAAGAAAGGCTTTACACCTAGATTATCATAAATGTATGAAGGGGAGACTTAAATACAAGACCTCTATTTGCTCTAATACCATGCAACAAACTGGATTTCACTCACCACTTTTTTTTTTTTTTTTTTTTTTTTTTTTTTTTTTTTTTAAAGCATCAAAATACATAATCAGCAAGAATCTAACTAAAACGTGTATCTACACGAACTAATAAACACCAAATATTTGGAAATCAAATCCCAGAAATCTCATTCCATGTTGTACCACCTCAGCAGCCTACGTTATTGGACACGGGCGAAATTTTTTTATTTATTTTTTTATCTTCAGAACATACTGAGAGGGAAAAATGGTCATATACACAAACTCCTAGCTTGAGACGTCTACCTGAAGTGCTTGCAAAGGAACATCAAAGTTCAATAATGACTTCAACAGAAAAAGCACAAGTCTGGAAAATGTTATTCTTGTAGGAACCACATTCTCACGAAATACTCAATGTATTGCATTCCACATCCAGGTTTCTTTCCACTGGTCAAATTCCTGTAAATGAATATTGGGTGAAAAAGGCTTGAACCGTCAACTCAGCAATCACTCTTAAGCCATGACATGACATTGACATGCTACACAATGACACCACAATCCAATTGCCTAGTAAAGACATTTCTTTTCTCCAGTAGTGTTTTCCTTCTTCTCCACTAACTCTTATTTGTTTCAAAGGACAACAACCACAAATACAATGAAAGTTTAAGGAACTAAAGGTTTTCCAGTCGATTGTTGCTTTAAAAATTGGATTATTAGGGAGCAGGATTCAGAGAACTTCCTAAATCTCAGGTGTTAAAATGGAATAAATGAATACAAGATTTATTTTATCCCAGAAGATGTTTGTTATGTTTGAGAAAGTTTATATTCTTCTCTCTGATGTCCTATGAAATAAAGTTCCCGCTTCAAAAAATGGGGTAATTTTCTTCTGATTCCTCATTTTAGAAGAAAAAAGGTAAAAATACATTGAGGACCTCAATTTCACCATTGGAATAAACAGAACCCTATAAAATTAACAAACATACATTCACAATTGTTCCCTTTGATCACTGTTAGAGATAGATGAAAAACAATATTGATGACTGTTGGGGAAATTTACATCGATTACGTGCATATTATATTCACAAAAGCATACATGTTATTTACGTGAAATCGAAACGTAATTTCGACTTACCAAAATAGGATTTGAGAAACAAAACATAAAAGTTACCGAATCTGAATGCATGGATATGGATTCATCCCTTTCGATTCTTGAACGAAAGCAAATTATTCTTTTAATTGAACCTTGCAACATAAACATGTAAACAATGTTAATCATTTCCCAAAATGAAAATATAATCAAAAGAAATCAGAAAACTGTAGGAAGACAGATGTAAGTAATGAATTTTTGGTCGAGGCAAGTGTTTGACACTTGATCCTTAAGATGAATTTGCCCCACATCGGTACTAACGATTTTTCGACAATTATCTTCCAAGATACAACGACCACGTCAAGCCATAGAAGCACTTCAAATAACTTTGACCAGCGAACTCGAATGGAATTCCCTCTCTACCAGGAAAATGCATTAAAATGTTATGGAATTAAAAATGAGAGAATTGCAAGAGAAGAATGAATGCTCAATGCAATTGGTGTACCCAAAATCATGTCCATAGGGTTCTATTTATAGATGTAGAAAAGGTGCAAATGAAGTAGTGTGGGCCAAAACATACATCCTTTTAAAAAGTTGCAACACTTGGTCAAAATCTGCATCCTTTCGAAAAGTTGCAACACTTCATTTCTTCCAACTTTAGTCCGCAATTTCTCGTTCATCCGGAATTGGTTTCGAGATTCCAAATATACTACGACGATCTACTCAATGAGTAGAATAAGTTGGTCTACTTATTTTTATAATTTGACCATCGAATCAAGTCCGAATGTTTTGTCGAAATTGACACGTAGTCACACCTTTTTATTTTTCACTTTTACACACCTTTTCATTTTCCACTTTTACACACATTTTCATTTTCCAATTTTTGGTTAATTATTTGAACCAATTCCTACAATCCTCCACATGAATGGAAATTGGATACGCATATGCAAATACGATGATATGATACAATATAGAGAGGGTGCGAAAAAATACTGCATCAGGGAAGGTAGCTTCTGACCTTGAACCTCCCTTAGTGAAATACCATTGGGCTTACTCGACTAATTGGTGAACGTGGTGTCTTGAACCATTTAGCCTTTAGTGTAAGCCAAAACAATGATACTCACACAGATGTCTTTTCTAAACTGTTCATGGATCTCATGACTTGGTTCATTTTGGCCCTGAACCCTTTTTGGTTCTGCAAGTATTTAGAGAATTCAAATCTTGAATAATTCTCACTGAAGCGACCCCACTTCACACTTACATAGGTGACCTCCTATTAAGAGTATTCTGCCCTACTCCATTTGACTTAATCAAGATATATGAATCATTAAAAGATTATCTTAACCTCTTACAACTTTGCAGAAAGCACTTTAATATCATAGGAATGAATTAAAAAAGCATTTTTCTTAGTGCTTTATGAAATCCTCATAACTTAGTTGTCCCTTTAAACCAAGATCTTGGAATCTCCAGTCAACAAGATAGGGTTACCATTACAAGGACTCTAACGTAGTAGGCTTTACCTCATTCCCTTCGATATGCAATATTCTTGATTTCTCTTAGTAAATCTCTTTAAAGGTACCATGAGTTTACATCATTAAGATCAACTGCTTAACGATATTACATCTATGACTTATACGTCTAGACTTATCGTTACTTATGACTTAGTATCTTATCAAATATTGCTAGCCAATGATCGATTCATTTAATAGATACAAATTATCGCCACCAAGAAATTCTCTCATGAAGTTATATGTCTCATTAGCTTTATCTAAAGCTTTATCAATTTCCAAACAACACTGTTAGACGATTTTCTATCTAATTATTATACTAGTCAACCATGTTTACAAGTGGATTTCAGAATCATG